AACAAAGTTAATTGGTGATACTTTCATATAAAATAAATATGTAATCAATATATTTGGGTTGGGATAAAAGTTTGTAACAGTGTTCAATAGCTGGTATTTAAACATATGCTTTTTAATGCTTTAAATATATACTTTTTAAATCTATGGTATACTAGCTTAAAAGATGCTCTATTGGGAGGCATTTAAACTAGTTCCTGTGGAGGGTTCTTGATTGGGCCTTCAGCTTGTTTAGGAGTTTGTTAGTCCCTAAGTCATTGCATATTCTCAGCATTGGAAGCTCTCCTTGTCGCTTGATCTGGGTTTTCATTTGCACAGGACTTTCTTTTCCTTGCTGCAGCCTTGGCTCTTTTGATTGCAATCTGGTTTTCTGTTGGCGGAAATTTCTTTTTGTGAGGCATATTGTTGCTATATATAATAGGCAACAATAAACTACAGAAGAACTCAAAATTGATTGCTAAGTACTGCATTAATAATGAAGCTTACCTATGAAAAGTTCAACGATAATTCTCCCACCAACCACTTAATTTAAAGACAATTTGATGTGTGTAGGTCCTTACTTTCCATACAAACAATTATTTTTATTTCATGGTGACTTTAACTGGATTTTGCAATTATTTTCAGTCATTCCCAAATTTATTTCCAAGGTATAAAAATTGTTATCATAAAAAAAAATTGTTGCAAAATATCAGGTAAAAAAATTGATGAAAACAATCACAGTAATAAAAATTTGAGAATCCCAAATTTCTGAAACATGAGCTATTGAAACTTAGAGGATTGTATCCCTTTAACTGAAAAAGTGTGACATGGTGACACACTGATATTTGCATTTATTTTATATGTATATATATATGTGCAGATATGTAGAAAAATAGGAAAGAACACGTTAGGTAAATAATCTGGAGTTCTTTAGTATTTTTATTTTTATTTTTAAAAAACAGTGCTCCATACAGAAGTAGAGCTTAAATTATAATTATTTTTAAAAAAATATGATTCATTTATTTATACTATATAAACTAACCGCGTACCGTGAATTAGACATTAAGGACATTGGGCTATCCAGGGATGACAGGCTCATGGTAGTGAGGAGCTCCACAAATTTTAAAATAGATAAAATTAGAAAGATAATATATAGTGAATTCAGAAAACTAAACTTAAAAACTATAGTCAATACTAAATTAGAAAGGGTAAACTTCCTCAATGTAACTCTAGACTTAATGAACAACATATACCTACCTTACAGAAAACCTAACACTAACCCCTTGTATGTACACCCTAAGTCAAACCACCCTTCATCTATAATTAAGCATATACCCATATCAATAGAGAAAAGAATCAGCATGAACTCCGCTAATAAGAAAATATTCCAACAACATAGTAATTTTTATAACAAAGCCCTAAAAAATAGCGGATACAAAAATGCTAACATAAATTATAGAAACAATAGTACTAACCAGAAGAAAAACAGGAAAAGGAAAATCATTTGGTATACCCCTCCGTTCAACCAAATGGTTAGTATTAAGCTAGGACATAAGTTCCTACCTTTAATTGAAAAACACTTTCCTACTAATAGCAGACTGAGCAAGATCTTAATAAAAACACCTTAAAATTAAGTTACAGTTGCACTGAAAATCTAGAAAGAATCATAAAAAAACATAATAATAAAATCCTGGAAAAACACACATGCCAAAACAATATTAATAAAAATCCTAAACTAGAATTAAACAAAAATAATGAAAAATTATGTGATTGTAGAAACCCTGAAGACTGCCCATTGGAAAATAAATGCTGCACCAAATCTGTGGTATACCAATGCACTATCTCATCCATTGAGAGTCCTAACACTGATAGGATATACATTGGTTCAACAAAGAATAAATTTAAAATTAGATGGAGGCAACACAAAAGCTCCTTCAATAATATTAGAAATAGAAATCAGACATCTCTATCAAAATATTTTTGGCATTTAAAAGAAATGAATAAAACACCAAAAGTAAAATGGAAAATAATAAATAGAACAAGAACTTGTAAAACATGCCCTTTATATCTACATGAAAAACTACATATTATTAAGTTTCTAAATAATGAAAATTTATTAAACCATAGACATGAGTTAATGTTTTTTTGCTAACATCAACAAATTTTTGCATTAAATAAATAGCATAAAAAAATTAAATTTCATAGTCTAATAAAAGGTTTAAAAGCTTAACCCAATCATAAGATAGAAAAACCCTTTATAAAGTTGTCAAAAAAACAAATTGTAGTTCAGTGTGACGCGTTTATGTACGAAACAGCCCTTTAGGAAAAAAACATAAATAAATAAATAAGTAAATAAATAAATAAATAAAATAAAATAAAACAAAATTCTCTAGACACTTAACAACATATTATGGTGCCAAAAGCTATCTTTCACTGTGACTGACCAGATGATGTGCGTACATGAATGCCATTATTCGCTTTGAAATTTACACCCCGACCCTACCTCGGTTTGACCTCTTTCCAAAGGTGATTGATATGTGGATAAAAATTAACTCTTAGGCCTCTTATCAAAATGATTGCCCCAGCTGTTTCCATAGTAATTAATTTTGCGAATGAACATGCTTATAAAGATGCGTAAATTTCAAGATTGGTTATTCCTAAATTTTCGCTTGAGGATGAAACAGGGCCTGATACTTTAATTCAATTTAATTTTAATAATTATATTGAGGTTTTTGGCTCTCGTTTTTGAAACATTAGAACTCTTATGTAGCGAAGGAATGATATTTTTAAAAAATAATTATAATATATATATATATATATTCTGAAAAGTGATCTTTCAGTATGCATCTTCCTATATGATTTGTGTGTGCTATTATGTTAGAAGTGAAAATGGGGGAAAATGAGATGCATTTTTGTTAGTTGATGTTTTTTAATTAAAAAAAAAGAAGAGATATGTGCCATTTATAGTGATGGTGCCATAGCCAAGAGTGCTGTTCATAAGGGTTTTACTTGGTTCACAAATGGAAATTGTGATCTGGAAGGCCCAGAAGCAGGTCTGCAGTCATTGATGATGACCAAATCAAAACTCTGATTAAAAATAATCCCGGTCAATCAATGCAACATACTCCACATATCTCATACAAGTGTTCCACATCATTTTAAAACATGTGGCTATGTGAATTGCTACAGTGTTTGGATGCATAATGATTTAGCAGAAAAAAATTTAATGGACCAAATAGTTTTATTTTCAAAAGTGAATGGAAAATAGATTGTTTACAACAATGTGGAGCAAAAAAGCTGTGAGCAAAGTGAAATGAGCCACCACTACTCACTCAAAAAGCTGCTCTGCATGTGAAGAATGTGATGGGATGGAAGAGCATTTTCCACAAAATCAAGCATTGAATTCAAGCAAGTTGTCTTCTTCACTTCAGGACATTGGCAATGATGACTCTTCACAATTTCTTCTCCTTTGTAACTCTTAATAAATTTCATTATCTTATAGAAATTAAATTAGTTGTATATATTTTTCAACCAATAAAATCCCATCAGCAGGTTTGTTGGATAAACAATAATTACTATGGTAAATACCATCAAATTACTTGGCGGATGTGCTATTTTTGGACCATTTAGAAAATAATAATAATTCACCACTCTCACAAATTCAAGAAAAAATTTTCATGAGTTAGTATGAAATTATTTTCTAATGAATGAAAACCTTGTATTCAATAAGATCATACCTCTATGTGAAATTAGGTTCTGGGCACCTTTTATGGATATAAAAATAGAAGCATACTGCTTCTCAGAATTCAAAACAATTTTTAAGGCTAGTTTGATTTACACGTGCATATAAACATATGCACACAAAATGACAGCCAGAAGCTGTTGATTAAGGCCTTGTCTATGCACTCACAGAAACATTAGGCTGACCATTATAATGTAAGTCTGGCAACACATCTCACACCGCAAAATGAGCAGTTACTTACTTGATAAAACAAACTTCACTGCAAGGAAAATTAAACATTTTCATTGTATATCTCTGAAAAGAATCTATAAATGTTATTTCAACTGACATTCTGTTTCTATTTTTCCTCCAGAGAATATGTCATATGAGTGTTCCATGTCATTTGAAAACATGTGGCTATGTGAATTGTTACAGTGTTTGGATGTTGTTCATATCTTTGTCCTTTTTTTATGTTTCATTTAAAAGATGTGTAGTCATTGTTAAATATTTGGAATCCAGATACTCAGTTTACAACAAAATCCTGGGTAGATGGATCCCAACAGTCTTTCCTGAACTGTGTACCACCTTCCATTTACATAAGTTTGCTTGATGTTGTTTTCCTCTGTCCCTTCAGTCTATCCTGTGAGTATCAAATTTTACAAACCCTTATTCCTCATTATGTGCCTGAGAAATTTCACCTGTCACTTTCTGATGATAAATGTAAGTGTCCTTTTTGTTTTCATTTTTTGTAAAACTTTATCATTGCTCACATGTTCAGTTAATGATATTCTCAGCATCCTTCTGTAGAACCAACTTTCTGTTGCTTCAAGTCTTATCTTCATCTATGAGGAGATTGTCCAGCATTTTTTGGACTGCTTAAAGGCAGTATTCAATGGAAACAGTTCAGAATTGGCCAATCAGAAGGGTGTCATCTTCCATCAGGATAATGCCAGACTTCATACAGACCCAACAGAACTTGGTACAAATAGTGAAAGATAGTAGAACAAAATAGCACCTATGTTACTAGATAATATAATATCCGAATATTGTCTTTGAAATTTACCAAAAAGATGCTACAAACTTTTGTTCTAACCCAATATAAGTTTTGGCAAGTGAGAAGCAAGAAGCATAATTGGAATTGATGTCCTCTACCAAAGACTGAGATGCTCCATTTTCTCCCATCACCTTACTTCTTCATTCATACATGAGTCAATAATTAATTTATAATATATAATACTGATGAGACACTTGTCTAAAATCTTCAACATTACTTACGATTCAATTTCTCTTATTTTTCATTTAGAAATTTATCGTAATCTGGGACAGAGTAAAGTAGTTGCTGTAACCCCTGAGGATGTACATTTTGCTGGTTTTCAAGTGGGGAAAAAGTCCGTGGCAGATTTCTGCATCACCAATGTGTGTAAAGATGTTATCTCGATCAACATTTTGCCTCCACAGTCCAAATATTTCAAACTCCATTACAAGAAACCTGTAAGTATATTATTCCTGACTTTTTTGCTCATTTTTATTTACACTATTTACATTGTTTGGACTGTTGTCCTCATCTTTGTTGGCATATTCACAATGTTTTGGGCATTGTATGATCAACAGACAAAACATTGTGAATATGGCAACAAAGAGAAGGACAACAGTTCAAACAATGTAAATGGTGTAAATAATTACAATACCTCACCTCAGAAATATAGACTGTTGTTAATTTTTGCAAGTTTTTTTTTTATCAATAACTGGCTGCCTCATTTTAAATAATTCTAAGTTGATTATCTATCTCTCTATTTTGATTTATCAGTTTCATGTATGTATATATGCATATGTCACTCTCTCCTTTTATTTCTTCCTTCTTTCTTCCATTTCCCAAGGCTATGTAATATATATATATATATATATATATATATATATATATATATATATATACAACTACAAAAAATACAGTTATAAGCCTAACCTTACATAATTAATTCCCTAATATTTAAGATGCCACCAAGCCAGGTAAAAAAAAAACAAACTATTAACAACCAAATATAAAAAAATGAAATAATAGGAAAGTGAAGACATATAAACAAATATTTACTCTGCAATTTAAACAAAATTTAAGAAAAAATATGTTATATCTTCATTCCATTGAATGAAGATAACACAGTCATGAAATATAATTTTGCTTGAAGTTGACATAGTCTTACTGAATTCTGTCGTAGGATATAAGGCTCACTCCTGACTAGTTCTCTCCTGATGATTCTCAGTGTTAGTATATATGCTATTTGGATGAGTCTAAGTCATATTCTGGAGAGATGTGTTCATTTCCACAAGACCCTCCTCACCATTTTTAAATATGCACTTTCTTTAGGCAATAGTTTTTTTTTCATCATGGGTCTATTTGCAACGTTTCAGTTAGATTACAGTTTCAGTGTTGTAATATTAATTTTAGGAATAGGTACTTCAGAGGTATTTTAAAGTATGTCCATCGGTGAATTAAATTGTACTGGTTGATTATTCTGTGTATATCTAGACCTCAGTTGATATATATGTATTCTATATTGAAATTGTCCTCCTTCGGCAATATACATCATACTACCAACGCATCAAATAATTCCTTCCTGCTAATGTTCCTTTCCAACCTTAAAGTTTAAGACTTTATTGCTGATCTTAAATTATCTGGTAGTTTCAAATTATCAGCTTTTCTTTTTATTCCCTGGCAGTAATTTATCAAAAATGGATCTAACTTTTCTAGCAAACATGAGCTCTGCAGGTGACATTTTTGCAGTAATGTTTGCATTTGATGCCATTTGTATATGCTCAAAAATTCTTATAGTGCCTTCAGCTTCCAAGCCTTTAGCTTTTCTTAATGCCCTTTTGAAGGTGTCAACAAATCACTCAGCTTGACTATTCGACCTCGGATAATAAATTGGCGTTGTCAAATGTTCGACTGTATGGTTGTTATGGGGTCCACCCCTTCTTTCATACAAGTGGACTTGACCAGTGTGTACTTGTACTGCTGCCAGTGAATACCTGGAAGTCATAGAATAATAGAGAGAGTAAGAGTGTAAGGTAACTGCTTTGTAGGAGTCACAGTTGCGAGCACGTAGACTCAGAAGGAAGTCCTACTTTGGTATTAAACTTCTCAGACTGTATATATATTATTATTGCTATTAACTGCATTTCTGGATCTACTAACCGTATTACCAATTGTATTATTACGTCAATACATTTATTTGCTATATTTCATTCCTGTGTTTGTCATTTATTTGAGACCGGATTTCATCCCGGAATCCACAACAGTAGTTTTAGCAGAAATTTTAAAACTCACTAGAAGTAAATTGAGTTCTATTATCAGATACCATACTGTCTGATACTCGAAACCTTGCAAAAAGTTTGTGTAAGAATTTAATAATTATTGTGGCAGTAGGTTGATTACACTTTAATATCTTGGGCCATTTTGTTGAAACTGTTGACCACAGTTATATAGTATGAACTGTTTAGTGGTCTAGCAGAGTCCATATGTAACCTTAGCCATGGTTTATCAGTTCTCGGCCATGCCTGATAATTTAAAGGTTATGATTTTACTGCTGAATTACAACTATTACATTTTGTAACTGTATTTTGAATATCTTTGGCCAATAAATGTAGCTTCTTATCAGGGACTTTATGGCATGAAATTTAGTAATAGTAAATAGTATGATAGTATAGTAATAATAGTAGTATGAATAAGACAAATGGAAAACTTATCTTAACTGATGTATTTTGTCCTCCGATGGTCTTTATCAAAGCAAATTTGGGGATTTTATTTTGCAACAAGTATTTATAAACAAAAGTAAAAATGTGTACAGTAAAATGAACTCTTCTTTCTCTCATAAATACAAACTGCGTGAGTCGGATACAGTGAAGTGGGTGGAGTGGAGTGGAGTAGTAGACGCAGTGCTAATCTACTTATTACTAACACTATTGTTTTGTATATATCTTCAATAAACTTTTTCAACAAACCTTCTTCTTCTGTGTCTTTCTTTCTGGCCCTTAAACAGGCCACAACAAAATGTTAGTTTTACAAAATTTTTAAATTTAAGAGGTGTTCATAAATATTCATCAAGTAAACTAGATTATGGAGGATGCTAAGTGATATAATTTAATGTCTAATAAATGAAAGTGATTAAATAATGTTTTTGAATTTTTTTTATGCATTTAATATTTAAATTATTTTAGTGTTGGATAAATTTATGTATTATATTTTTTAAATAACAGGAGATTATAAATTTAACTGTTTTCTTTTCATTCTTAACATTTTTATAGTCATGTATGTTGGCTTGAGATAGAGGCAATTCTTTCAGGAATGGAGATATTTGAAAAAATATGGGGTGCAGATTAAAATTTTGATAAGATTCAATATTGGCATGTTCCAGAATTTTCCAACTAAGTAAATTACTTTCTTTTTTAATAACTGGCATTCTTTAGATTGAAGTTATGGTTTAATTTATTTCTATGTCTGACTAATGCATTTGCTAAATTGTTGTGTATAAGATCTGTCTTGCGTTCATAGACACATTTTGTTTAAATTTCTGAAAGTTTACTCAGTATATTGTGAAGAGCAGTTGTTACAGTTTATTTTATACTAGCAGTAGAGCCCGGCGTTGCCCGGGGATGTAACAGTAAGAGATAGATCAAGTATCGACCATCATAAAGATTGAAAAATAAAATTGACAAAGATTATTGTTTAAGGTTGACTGACACGCATGTCTTAATTAGTTTTTTTTTGTTTTTTTTTACGAATCGGTCAAACCCAAACTCAAACAAAAACATTGTTTTCAATTGTTATGAGTCTACTGATTGAATAGAATTTTATTATAAACAATTGTCTTGTAAATGAAATTTTTAAAGCATTCTGAATGTAAAAATAAAGAAAAAAGTGTGCAAGACAATAAGAAACACTACCTGCCAAAAAAAAGTGAAGTTTTGTTGAAATCAGTTGAAAATTGTAGGAAATCCGATCCCATATATAAATGAACACACACACACACACACACACACACACACACACACACACACACACAAAAACAACCTGGGTTTTATAATAAGTATAGCTCGATATGAGTTGTCCCCCTTTCATTCTCATGATGCCTCTTAATCGTGTTTTCAAATTGATTTTGTGCAAAAACAAATGTGTTTTTCCAAGTTTTTGGTGCTGTCAGAACCACAAGAAGGTAATTTTAAATAGTCCTGTGATGTTTTGTTGAAATCAGTTGAAAATGTAGGAAATCTGATCCAATATGTAAACGTACAGACACACACACACACACACACACACACACACACACACACACACACACACACACACACACACACACACAACCTGGGTTTTATAATAAGTATGATATACCTGCAACAGAATTATTATTGTTATGGGTATTGTTGGTTCTGATTATATCCATAATAATTTTGGATGTGGTCATAATTATTTTGGCAATTATTAAGATTGGATAAATTGTTTTGGATAGTAGATATTAAGAAGTTAGTAGTATATGTTTTTATCTAGTTTATCATCATTGTTATTGTTGTCAATAATTTTATTATCTTTTTTACAGTTGTACATTTTATAGGCCTTTCTCTTAGCATTGTGGATGAAATAATGACAATATTGGAGGTTTTTGAAAGTATTTTCTATGTATGTTTCTTCTTCAGATAAGTGTTGGTGGCAGCAGATTCTTAGTGCTCTTGATAGAATTCTATAATTATTCAAGATTTTTAGTCTGTTGTTGTGGTGGGAATAAAAATCTACCAGCAAGAAGGAACTTACCAATTTTGATTTTTTTGTTTATAAATAGAAATTCAACAACAACAATAACAATATTTACTTATTTTGTTTATTAGAAATTAAATTATGTCACCTAGCATCCTCCATAGTTTACCCCAACTTTCATATTTAGCCTTGAGAAAATTCCTGTGTGTTTTTAAATTAAAAATTTTTGAAAATCTGACAATATTTTTACTTCTGTTTATAAATACATGCAAAATAAAATCCTTACATTTCCTTGATAAACTCCATAAAAGGACAAAACACATTGGTATTGAATAGTTTTCTTTTTGTCTTTATTCATATATATATATATATATATATATATAAATGTAAAATGTGTATGCATATAAATATAAATATATATGTATATGCAATTTTTATATATATTATTTATATATTATATATTAAGTGGTACTTATTGGAGAAGTGCTCAATATCAGTGATAGAGCTAAAAATTAATCAGTTTGTCTGACGATTGCAAATAGTGTGAAACCCAGGGTCACAAACTCACATCAATCCAACTATATATATATATATATATATATATATATATATATATATATATGGGATAACAATATATAATTTTTAATATTTCAATTTGGGAGAAAACTTCATGACAAAGGGGAAAAACTTTTTACATTTCTTTATACATCTTTACTCCAAAATATATATAGATAGTTTGTCTGATGAT